TTTTCTTAAGCGCAGGTGGATTGATGGAAGAAACCTTCCAGGCTCTTAATTTTCAGGAAAACGCGCCTCAACACCAAGGGCTTCTATTGCAACCTATGCACACTCGCTTGTGGCCGGCTCTCCTTGCACTACCCAGTTATGGCCAGGGCGACAATGAAAGCATCGGTGGTGGCGTTTTTCGCAGCGCTACTTGGGCAGAGTCTGATGATTACATAACATATTGTCTCAATTGGCTTTTTTAGGAGGGCTGTGCGAATGTCAAAATTTTGGGTGCAAACCGTATTCGAATATTAAATTCCGAATAATAATCAAATCGAATATTTTTCGAATAGTTGTGAAATATCTGTGAATATTTTTCCAATACTTTGAAGTGAATTTACAGAAAGAAGATAGCAGAAGATCTATATGCACATTCTTATGATATATAACCATGGAAGTGTTTACTATAGCTAGATCAGTGCAGTGCTGGAGGGATCATGTTCCCTAGTTGTCTCAAGAAGGACGAGGCGGAATTGTATTTATACATAGTTTGGTACAGCTAATGTGGTGTCACAACACTTTTTACGCATCAGAGGAAAAGGCTCAAGAAAGGGAAAGAAAACCACTGGTTTGTGGCACAAAGCCACGAGGAAATCCTTACCAATTTAGCAGAAAGAAAACCTTCATAGTTCACGAAAAATTTGTCCTGCCTCGAGGTCCTGTTCTTGGAAAGAAAGGAAGCTTTTGAGACTAGTACCCTGAACCAGGACCACGAAGCCACAAGGAGATCCTTATGGATTTCCTTGTGGCTTTGTGCTACAAACTGGTGGTTGTCTTCTTTCCCTTTAGTAATTCTTCTGCCACCTTGCAGGATTTTGCAGAACTCGTTTGTAGAAAGGAAAAGGTGCCCCGCTGCAGTGGTCTAGTGGCTAAGGTACTCGGCTTCTGACCCGCAGGTCGCAGGATCGAATCCCGGTTGCTGTGGCTGCATTTTCGATGGAGGCGGAAATGTTGTAGGCCTATGTACTCGGATAAAGGTGCACGTTAGAGAACCCCAGGTGGTCGAACTTCCGAAGATCTTCACTACGCCGTCTCTCATAATCATATGGTGGTTTCTCATAATCATATGGTGGTTTCGGGACATTAAACCCCACATATCAATTAATTATTATCTTCCAAAATTTTACAGGCCGAACTGATTTGGTAGGCATCCTACCCAAATTTCATGTCCCAAACAGCATTAATTGAAGTCCCCGCTCTGCTGCGTCATCATCGCCATGTCGGAACCAGCATTTTCTTGAGTCAACGCGTTTGCAACTGTAACAGATTTTGAAAGGCAGCTTCGCTGCAATACGAGGGTGTGATGGGGTGTAGCATATCAAAATTTTGAAGGGGCCGCCTTCATTTTTATGTGACGCCATTTGTCTTCGAGAAGTCCAAATGTTTCGAATAGTAAAATTCTGGTGCGAATCCAATTGAATGGCTAGCGCCATTCGAGGAATGTTCAAAAGTCTGTATATTCACTCACCCCTATTTTCAAGTTTAACTACTGTAATATTATGATTAATGAAACAGAGCATGATAATCTCAATTTCAGACTTTGATAGAGTAATAGCTCATTAACTTGTACTAGCTGGTTTTGCGAAATTTGGCTAAGTGTAAATTTTCAGTGGCAGTGAACTATTTCCTATATGTGCCCTGTCTTCATCGCCTTGTGTCTTAAATTTTCTTGTCAAATTGAGGACATCTCGACGGAGAGTGGACATCGAGCTGTTTCAGAAGTTTCGCACAAAGCTGTTTTGACTACTCCAAAGCAGGCACTTTTGCTCACCATAAAGTCACAGTGCGGTGGAATCACAATTTTGTGAGGCAACACTGGTGTGTCATGTAGAGGAACATGTCTCTGCATGACATGTTCCAGAGAAACAGAGGCCCTGCTTCCCTGCATGTTCCTCTGGAACATGCAGAGAAGCAGGGCAATATGTAGTACACTTGATGCAGGTCGATTTATAATCAGGGGTGAGATTTACATTATTATTTAACTTTTTTCTAATGCACGCGACGTGGATTTATTTGTTGTCAGTGTGGTGCGGACAACTAGAGCATGAGTGGTGCAAGGATGGCACTGCCTGAGATATCAAGGCGCTGATGCTGTAAAGGTTGCCTTATTGAAAGAAATGGAGAAAGCAGGCATTCGTCAACAATTTTACATCCCCCTTGTCCAAGGTATTGTGCTTTTAACAGTGGCATATACAGTGAAATCTTGTTAATTCGACCCCCGTTAATTTGGAATTTCGGTTTATTCGGCCACGACGTCTGGTCCCATCTAAAATGTACATTGTTCTATGACTGAAAACTCTCATTAATTCGAACGAATTCAGCCGTGCTTTGGCTAATTTGAACGCCCGACTGCAGTCGAGTCACGACGGGAAGCAGCAGCGGATTCTTTCGGTCAAATCGACGGCGCACCTAATCAAAACTTTGTCCATGGGTAGTACATCTCGGAGGCACCAAAAAACACACACACACACACACACACGCAGCGCACGCACGCACGCGGTAGTTTTTTAGTGCTTGAAAATCCGGCCTCTAGTCATCAGCAACGGGCAACCCACGGATTTGGCTTTTCCTTTTTCTTGTGCGTCGAACACGTTTGCGTGACGGTTGAGTTAGATTACTCACCTCTAGTGTGCCTAAAAGAATTTATCTGTACATGATTAGTGCTATCTGCAGTCTTACTGTTGGATGTTTTTTGAAAAGTTCGCCGGTTTTTATTTCGTTTTTGTTACCGTGCATTTTTGTGTGTGTGTGTTTGTGTTGTCTACGTCTTGCGCGCATGCGCGACCACTGCGCGAGCCACGTTGGGATGGCTTCTGTTCAGTCTCCTGCTGCCCCATCCGCCCCAACTCCTGTAGCGAAGAGGGCGAAGTACAAAGCAAAGGATTTGGCTGCGAAGGTGAAAATATTAAAGGCGTTGCAAGCGGCATCATCTCGAAAAGAAGGGATGCAAAAGTTCAATGTGAAGAAAAGCACGCTAAGCACTTAAGTGAAGAACGAAAAGCAGATTATGCAAGCATATGACGGGGACATGTTTGGCGACCAGAGGAAGAGGCTTCGAACGGCAGTGCATCCCAAGCTAGAAGAAGTGCTGTTATACTGGATTGCTGTCTCACACGATGCACATCTGCGCTTGAGCGGCCTCCTTATCTGCGCATAAGCAGAGAAGTTCGCGGTGGCCATGAACATCGACACCTTCAATGCATCGAAAGGCTGGTTCGACCGTTTCAAGGAGCGACACGAGCTGGTGTTCCGCAATGTGTGTGGTGAAAGAGGTGCGGTTGACAAAAGTGTTGTGCAGGACTGGCGGTCTGGACTATCCGCGCGCCTTTCTACATACGAGCCGTGCAACATTTTCAACGCTGATGAGACAGCGCTGTTCCATAAGGCTCTGCCTGAGAAGACAATCGCATTTATGGGGGACTTGTGCGTCGGTGAAAAATGAAGTGAAGAGCACGTGACAGTTCTTCTGGCTGCTAGCATGACTGGCACAGAGCGGCTGCCGCTGCTCGTGATCGGGAAGGTTGTGAAGCCAAGATGTTTCAAGAATATTAAGCAGCTGCCTGTCGACTACTGGTTCAACAAAAAGACTTGTAGAACTGCCGAACTCTTTCAAGCCTGGCTGCGTCAGCTCGACCGCCGCTTTGCGGCTAAGGCTCAGAACATGTTGTTCGTGCTGGACAACTGTAGTGCGCACACGAAGGTGTCAGGGCTCGAGAACATTGAACTGCTATTCCTGCTTCCGAACACAACGGCTTCCCTGCAGACGATGAACGGGGGAATCATACAGTTCGTGAAATGTCGCTATCGACGGCAGGTACTCGAGTGGATGTTGCTCTGCATGGATTCAGGCAAGCAGTACGAAGTAAGCCTGCTAAGCGCAATCCACGTGCTGGCATACGTGTGGAACAACACACCCCCTGCAGTAGTCTCAAACTGCTTTAAGCATAGCGGCTTCGTGCACGACGCTGCTTATGCGGGTGTGGGGGCCAATGAGGTAACCGGCGAAGAGCAAGACGGCCGCTATGTGAGCATCGTGCCAGCTGATGTGGCCCTTGGCGATTAGTTTGCAATTGACAGCGATGTTGCCGTAGCCGGCACAATGACCGACAGCGATATAGTCGTTGAAGTCTCGGACAGCATAGGGGAATCTGCTGACAAGAACGTAAGTGATGCTGACGAGCATTCACGATACACTATGACAGAGGTTGCGCATTCATTGGCCGTTTTGGAGGACATATGCATGCTTTCCACGGACAGTGTGCACAGATTAAGCCACCTGCGGAATTTTTGCGAAATTGTGACTTCGTCGCATATTGCGTCCATGAAGCATACTATGATCGCAGACTTTTTTTAAGAAATAAAAGTCTGATGGTCTAGGAGACATTTTTCAAGTGTTTTGTATGTACCCTGGGTTAATTCGTACCCTCGGTTAAGTCGTACATGCTCTCTGGTCCCGTAAAGTCCGAATTAATGGGGTTTTACTGTAATACACTTAGACCTCGATATAGTGAACGCAGAGATAATGAAATATTGGCTATAACAAAGTAAATGAAAAATAGCCTTGGGATAGATACAGTGTTAGGAATATACCTTTATAACGAATTTCATATATAACAAACTTATTCTTGTGTAAGATGCAATTTTGTTATAGTGAGGTTTGAGTTTAATAAGCAGAAGGTGCTCTGATAGATTTCAACATACCATATATACATCATTGTACGTGAACCCATCTTACTTCAAAGTTGATACCAAAACTAGTATCACCTATCATCGCAGAACAAGACATTGGGCATGCTGTAGCATGGTGACAAAATTATGTTTGCTTTCTAGTTTTCCAGTATTTACAACTTCATGTTAACTAGGTACTAGTGTATTTGGCTATTTTGACAGCTCGCGATTTCAGGTGCCCTAGTGACTATGCAGCGCAGTCTATATAGGCTATGTGTTGTTTTGTTGCGCAGGAGATCTCGATGACTTCCAACATCAGCAGTCACAGCAGCAACAGCACCATCAACAGCAGCATTTGCAGCAGCAACAGCACTTGCAACAGCAGCTACAGCAACAACAGCAGCAGCAGCAACAACAACAACAACAGCAGCAGCAGCAGCAGCAGCTACAGCAACAGCATCAACAGCAGCTACAACACCAGCAGCAGCAGCAACAGATGCAACAGCAACAACAGATGCAACAGCAGCAGCAACAGATGCAACAGCAGCAGCAACAGATGCAACAACAGATGCAGCAACAGATGCAGCAGCAGCAACAGCAGCAGCAAATGCAGCAACAGATGCAACAGCAGCAGCAGCAGCAAATGCCGCAGATGCTGATGAAGCGAGAGGACGGTTCGGCAGGCCCTCCGGTCAGTCATGGTGTGCGCATGGTCCCCCACATGGGAGCCAGGCCTCCTTTCCCGCAGCACGAGGGCCAACAGGTTGTGCTGCATCCACGCTTTCCCGGAAACCTGCCAATACCTCGCTACCTCAGCCGCCAAGGTATGCAAGCCTGCTTCAAACAGCTGGGCCAGTTCGTGCATTTTTTGTCTGGGGTGTACCAGTGCTCTGCAGCCATTAGCTCATTGCAATAGTGGCAATGAAAATTCTTTTTTGTACAGTATAGCCTAGATGAAGTAAAAGGGGGACTTTATATCACTATATCAACATTTTATTATAGAGAAAAGCTTTAATGGTTATGCTTTTGTTTTATAAGAAAATAAAGTTACAGTGTCCCTGTCACAGTATGGTGCAAAAAGTGGGAGCATGTCAGTGTAATTTGACATACAGTCGAGTCCGCTTATAACAAACCTGAGCGTGACGCGGCATCTGTTCGCTGTATCCCGAAGTTCTTAGTAAATGAAACACAGCTTTTAAAAAAATTGTGAGTGAAAACACTAACTTTTTTTGCCCCCAAAAGTCCGCGATGCACGTGTTTCGAAAAGCAGAAGCGATAAGGGCGGTCTCGAAATCATTTAAAACCGCAGGGTGCTCGTTCGCCGAGGCCCGCGGCATAAGCTGCATGAGGCACTGGCTCCAAAGTTTCGTCGTTCTCGCAATCTGATTCCTCTAAATCGCTCTCACGACGTACTTAATTCGCAATGTCCCAATCCGTGCACAGTTCTGCAGTGTCGGCATCATCATCGGCCGTAATTAAACCATCGCAACAGAAGTCCCACCCGCTCTCCCAGGTCGGAGTCGACGACGCGTGGCCACAAATCGCCGCCGCAGTTCAGCTTCAGGCTCGGCATCGGGCCCGATGTCGACGTAGTCGGCCTCGCGAAAACAGTTTCGCGCGCATGTAGTCGTCACCGCCGCCCACGAAATATTCACCATCTCCACAGCTGAATATAGGGATTCCCGAGGCGGCAAGTTGGCTGCCAGGTAGTCAACAGCTATGAGCAAGCGCTCCGCAACCTGGCCCCTGAAGCGCTGATTACGCTCAAGCCAAGCGGTCACAGTTTCGACGTTTTGTTGAGCGGCACGAAAAAGCGTGCTAGTCCTCCCGTCAGCCATCATGACCACACACGCACACCAAGAGCGAGCAAGACGCACACACGCGACACACATGCCAGAGCGCGTAGAACAGCTCTAGGCCCGTTTCCAGTTCGAAAACGATACTAATTCGAGCCAGCGTGGTGGGTGTCGCAGAGCGGTAGAGACGGGCGAAGGGGTTGTGATCAAGAGAGGAGAGCAGACTTGCGAGAGAAGGGCAAGGAGTTGCGATAAAGAGAGGGAAGGATGCGGCGGGAGGGCGACCTTGAAAACCAAAACACACGGGAAGGAGGCAGGTTGAGTAGCTTGCTTGAAAGGTCCACGAAACTCGCACGTAGAAAAACTTGAAAAGAGTGCATGGCCACCTGAATCGGTGCGCGTGGCGGTGTTCGAAGAATCGGCGGCCGTTGCCAAAAAATTGTTTCGTTGCGCCGGCGGGTTTGCGTGGCCTCACGAACTTCGATATTTCGCGATTCGTTCGCGCAAATTACCAGTAGTTTTCGCGCTTCCGCATGCGCGCGGAAGGCATGCTCAGTCGATTGCGAAGTGAGCAAAAACAAGTCCTAAACACGAAACTAATCGCAAATTATCAGAGTCGATGGGGTAGCGTACGCGCGTGCACTAGACGCAGACTATCAGATACAGTCAGTGGCTGACAATGTTGTCAAATGGCCTGGTCACTCCAGGCCGGCGACGCCGACGACAGTACCAGCGATCAAAAACAGGGTTGAAGGCCGACTGGTCTTCGAAAGATTGGTGGCAGTGTGAAAACACGGGCCTCGTCTGGCGATGCGGAGTACTCAGGCTAGCGGGGGGGGGGACAAAGGATGGAGGGGTGCGTAACAAAAAACGGTCGGGGAGAGCGGCAACTAGAGGGGCACGGAGGCAGGGTCGGCATTTTACATTAAGAATGTATGGGCACCTCGCCGATGCCTTATCGATGGTCGAAATTGGTTTCCCTGGAAGTCGGCAGACCGCTGACTCCGTTCGCTGTAAGCGATCAGCAGCGCTCTGAGAGGTTCGTTGTAAGTGCGATTTTGTGCCATTGAACCAATGTATATTTTGACGGTCACGCGGATATTGTTCGTTTTAAGCGAAAGTTCGTTTTAAGTGGGGCCGTTATATGTGGGCTCGACTGTATTCTAATGACGATAGCTATAGCACGAGAACAAGACGACACAGAGACAAGATGGACACAAAAGACCATACCAACTAGTCCAAGCTGCCACACTTCTAAATGTATTTTAAGATTGGTGGGATCAGTAATTTCACTTAATTGGTCAAGATCTCTTGTGACAGCTGCGACATTTGATGATGGCAACAGAAAATGAAGCCAAGAAAGACATAGAGCACCTCATACGTAGTTTTAAATGGTATTAAAAGTACTTATGACATTAAGAGTAAGGAATCACGGTACACCAAAAAGCAACATTGCCATTGGTCGAGACCGAACAGGCAAACCTTCGAAAGTTGTTGGTTTGGTCACGACTAGTTGTTAAGGGGAAATGCGGGTCAGTTTTTTTCCAAATTATCGATTTTTTGTTTTAGCCTGTTTTGATAAGATTAGTACCTCTACTGTTATGAAAAAAATATTACAGGTCCAGACTTAACTGGAAATGCTTTAAAATTGCATCTAAAGAGCACAGGGTGCCTGTTAAAAGGGGGAAAATAATCAGTCTTCGAGTACCTTGCCCCCGATAATGTGCCGCCGCTCGCCATTGTTGATCGCATGAGTCGAAAAGTTGAGCCTCACTCTTCAAATACTAACAGTTTCTCTCGCTGATGCAGCGCAAGAAATAATAAAAAGAAGCACTCTTCGGCGTGTTTTTCAGGGACCGCCATTGGCCGCTACGCGCCTGTATGTGCTGTGAAACCTATTTGCAGGGTCCATGTCTTGTCGAGCAGCACAGCTAAACAATGCTTTTCTCGTGTAATTATCTCTCTTATGGCTGAAAAAAGGCATTGCTCGCAAGTGAAAGCCGTTGTGTGGCGCGCTTTGTAGGAATAGGCTATATGAGCAGCTGATCCGATTTGCGGCAGTTGTTGGCTTGCAAAAACCAATGCATCGAAAGTCATTTACACCCATCCACCGGAAAGTTCGTGATGCGGCAACGGATGACGTCAGAGCCAATCTTGAGAGGTTGAAAGAGCTCGCAGTGAGAGAACTTAGCAGGGACGACATTGCCATTATGTACGACGGTATGTGGCACAAGCATGGCTGCAAAATGGCATGACACTGGACTTAGTTTGGATTTTGCAGTCCTGTTGAATTTCTTCTCGCAGCTTGCAGTTGGCACAAGGCTCTGCCAGATAGAGCGGAAGTTTGGCAAGTGTTTCATGGCTCTGTCTGTGAGCGAAATGTCTGTGAGGAGTCGGCTCAAAAAAAGCCAAGAGGGACAAACTCATGGTGCTGGCGTACTTTAGTCGCAGTGGCCACTACAAGAAGGATTGTTCTTTTTGGTGTGCAAATTTCATCTGATTTAATGATACCTTTCATAAGTAAAAACTCAATTTTAACATTAAAACTCGTTTTTCTCAAAACACAAATTGTGCCATTTTTTCCAATGTGCCCCTCCTTTTTCGGGCACTTCTACTGCTCGGATCTGCACGAAATTTTGCCAAAATTTTTTCCAAAGTATGACAAATGCAATTATCTAGTTTAAATTTTAATACTTTATTGTATAATAAAAATTGTATGTATACCTTCACTAGGGTAGGTGAAATGTGGACTTTTTACGTCTATTATTTTTTCACGCATATTACATATTTTATATGTGCTTCCTAATTAGTTCTTTGCACTCTACACTTCATTTGAAGCATTATGAGCTATTAATGGTAAAAAAATTACAGAAGTTTAGGAATGAGAAGAGGGGGGCAAAAGGGTGAAGGTTTTCACTTTGTCATGTTGCAGAGCTATAAGTGTGTAACTTGCAAGAAAACTAATTATATATTTGAAATCAACATAAAAAGTTCCATAAACAGCTCAAGTTTCATTGCTCTAGGGTGAATATTAAAAAAAGTGTCTTCAAGTAGCATCTCCCCTCAAGTTGTTTTTTCGCTCACCTCTTTCTTTTTATGTTGTACCTACAAAAGTTCCTTAACCACTTTTCCAAGTAATCATCAATTGACCTCGGAGAACCTCATGAATTAATTGCTGCAAGACATTTTCGAGTCCGTCAAGAATTTTTATTTCTTTTGTGTATTTGTTTTCCTTTTAAATTTGGGTAGTGATAAAAGAAGGCACTTATCTGTCATTGAAGTGGGTGGTTTTTGGTATAATCATTTAGGGCATAGTTGATTGGAGCTTAGGTCTGCTTCGCTCCTGCTGACACATTCTGTTTTCTTCTCTTAAACAACGGGCATTCTAGGTATAAAGCATGACATGTTGGTAAGTTGGATTGTTTGTTGCTGTGTTTTAGGTGGGGATCCAGTCAGTCAGCATCCGCCAGGCCATCCTTACCTGCAGCGTACTGGAGGCGTTCACCCCATGATGAGGCCTCCGCCACCGTATCCAGACCACCTCCGAAAGCCACCACCTTCACCAGCTATTTCACCAAGCCACAGTGGCATGCAGCCTGAAAGCAGCGGAAGTCCAGATCCATCGCGCACGCCCCCATCACTGTCGCGCCCAAACTCACAGCCAGCTCTGCAGTCGCCGGACCCACGATCATCCCCTATGGAGCGACACTTCTCGCCTGGGACACCGTCCAGCTCGTCCAGTCTTCCTCAACGCTCTCCTGCAGTACCGGCACAAGGGCAAGATGATGGGAGAGGCGATGGTGAACGATCTGCTGAAAGCCTGTCCGACCTGCTATCGAGAGTTTCCAAGACTCCCTCAGAGTCTCCAAGCCCCCGGACCGACGAAGGGCGCCCTTCCATCGGCGAGCCGTCACCAGGAAGAGGGTGCGTCTCGCAGGACAATAGTGGACAGACACCACCACTGTCCAAACAGGAAAGCATTCTTCAGTACCTTCGAGCTGGCTCTGTTGGCAGCCCAGCGAGCAACTCTAATTCGTCTCGTGGCAGCGTCGATAGCTTTGGTGGAATGGGTGGGGCCCAGCCCATGTCCAGTGCTCCTGACACAACTCCACGGTCTTCCGAGAGCCCACATTATGTGGCCACATCTGTATACCAGGGTGTAGTGGCATCACCCGTCGGGAGCCCTGTCTCGTCTACATTTGCTGGTCAGGGACAAACAATGACCCTGACAGACACATTTGCTTCAGATAGCAGCGATGGCAGTTCGCAAATGCAGGTTCGGACACAAATGGTTCGTGTGAGCCAAGGTATGATGGGCCTGCCAACCTCATCAGCAAGCTTTACAAGGAACTCCGGGATGCAGCAGCAGCAGTTGCAGCAGCAGCAGCAGCAACCTAGAATGCAGTACATGCAACATTTGCGGCAACAACAGCAGCAACAGCAACAACAGCAGCAGCAGCAGCAGTCACAGCAACAACAGCACATTATGCTTCAGCAAAGCCAATATGTACCTCAACAAGGCATGCTAGTTCGACGCATTGTGCAAGGCCAACGGCCCGCTGGGCCTGGCTCCTTTGCCGACGGCCAGTTCGCTGCACGTGCGCAGATGTTTAGGGGTGCTGCTCCAGGCAACAATGCAGTGCGCACGTTCGCAGTGCGTCCAGGTGCCGGTGGAAACAACCCTGGAGGCAATAGTGGAGGATTGCCAGGTGGGAGCCCCCACACAGTTGGAGGGGGTCGGGGTCCAACACCAGCGAGCCCCCCCAAAAATTCCTCATCGTCAGGGGATGAGGGAGACGGTGGCACATCGTCCTCAACACCGTCCTTGCTGCATCGTGCGGGGGAAAGCGGAAGCAGCTCTTTCGGAGGCAGCACATTCCACGTCGGACCGTCGTCCACTGTGACGTCGTACGGGGCCGAGCATTTGCCTACCAGCGTGTTTGTGTCGCTCGACTACCCTTCCTCGACCATCACGAGCCCCGATGGCTGCGTATCGTCAGAGGTCCTGCTCAGCTTGGGTGATGGCTCTCCTGGTGTTGCAGCACTGGCAGCGTCCGAGGATGAAGACGCCTCGGTGGAACAGTCGCGAGTTGCGCTCGTGGTGGTAGGGGAAGAAGGCGAGGAGGAGGGCACCGAAGACCATGGCATCACCCAACAGGAAGAGCCCCTGGACGTTGCCGTCGTCGTAGAAACGGTGGGGACTTTGCCGACTCCAGAGTGCGAAGCCAGAGAGGACGGTTCTAGTCCCAGTGGCTCTGAAGGGGGCATTGACTTGGCCATCTCTGGCTGTGGTGACCTGCACCATCGCAGCACACCCGCAGGTGACCACAACTATTCCAACCTGCCTCCGGAAGGTGCAGGCGGTGAACTGGCCAAGAAGGTTTCCGAAGGGGCACACTTTTTCGACCACATAAACATGGGGATGGATGTAAAGATCGAAGACCATATAATCAGTAAGTGAACCTTTTTTTTTTTTTTTAATCATATTTGTGCTGTTAACCAAAATCATATTCCTTTACTTAGCTCTAATGGTTTGTGGGGGCAGGTTGACATTTTCTCATTGTTAGACTATGTGCTTAACATTTCACGTCTATTGAATTATGAATCCGTCTTGTGTGTTAACAGTGAACTAAAGCGGGATTTGAAATGCTTCAGCACCATGCACAAATTATTAGCTCATAGCTTGTGAAAATTACCGTATATTTCTGTATTGTAGCTTGTTCTGGCTTTCTTCTTTGAAGTGATAGTCTTATGTGTACAATTTACCGAGTTTCTATTAATTTTTCTTTTCTTCTGCTTTTAGGAATTGCAGATGAAAAGCCCTGCATAGAAAAAATCATGAACGAAAGAACTACACCACCACAGGTTTGCTTATTTTGGATTCCTTTGTGCTTCAATTTGAGTTTTCCGGTATAATAATAAAAGGGTGCCTGTAGATATCAAAAGAAACAAATCAAATGTAAATGCTTGAGGGTTCAATTACTACATCGGTGTATAATTTGGTGACAGAGTCATGCAATGTTTTCTGAAAGTTAGGGGCAAGAATGGTTTCTTTCTGTTTCTCAACAAATTTTCATCTGTTTCGGCCTATAGGAAAGCCACATTCACATTTTGTCACTGAAATTCTAGTAATTTAGTCACAGCAGCTTCACTCTGGTGGCAGTTATCTTAATTCCAGGCTAATTATTTAAAAGAGTGCTGTTCTTTTGGTGAACATAGCAAAGCTTTGTCACAGGTTTCGTGTTGAACTCCACTGAACTGACGAGAATAGCCACGGTATTCATGCTTCTTCTTTCACATGCAGATGTTGAAAACACCATCTCCACCCCTTGCACCAGTCTCCACCAGTGCCATGTCCTTCCCGGCATCGGTGACGCATACGTTAAACTTCACTTTGCGACAGACAGGGATGCCTCAGACGGTGCGGCTACCTCACGACGAAGGACAGCTTGTGGTACTCCCTGCAAAGACGGTGGTGCCTGTAGTTCCTCAGGTGAGTGAGGGCGATGAAATTTCCGTTAGGTTTTCTTCTTTGCTAGAACTAAATGGCTTGTGCCATTGGACGTTGTCAGTATAAGGCAACAGCTGACTTCATGAAAGTATGTCTTCTTCTGTTTGCTCTTCCCCCTTCTTTCTTGGTGTAATTGCCTCTGTCAAAAAGGTTCAGAGGTGTCATTTATATTTATTTGACTTTGAATGTGTAAGCATTTCTGTGCCAACTAAACAGAAGAACTGTTTGTCAATCCATTTATTCGTCTGTGACGTCAGAACTACTACTGCAGAAAATTAAATGTATGAAACAAAATAAAATTTCTTAGTGATTCAGACCAAATGTGAGCATCTTACCACTGGGCTTAAACATGCACACTTTCAAAATCTCTCTATATATGAACCCTAATAAGGGATTTTATTGCCAATACAGTTTAATTCGCTGCAACAAAATTGACGGGGCGCGGAGAAAATTTCGCTGAAGTGAAAATTTCTTTGTTGTGAAATTGAAAAACTATAGCCATCCTGAGCCAGCAAAGCAAGGGAACTTTTATTTACGAAATTTGAAAAGTGTTAGCTGCCTTCTCTTTTTTCCTGGCAGCATCTACACAAAATTCTCACACATCCATAGTGACACCGTGTTGAAAAGCACGCTGAAACAATGGCCACAACGGCTTTTGTGAACGAACCTGACAGTTTTACTAACACGCTAACACCAGCAGCTGTCCGCTATCAAAAGGTATCCGACAACGCCAAGGTGCAAGTGTAGCATGTATGTGGAGCGGTGAATTATGCCGTATTCTATGCTATTCTTATCATAAACTAGTAGCGGCGGACTTATCCTGTGGACAATGCAGCCGGACAGCCGCTCTTACCAGTGACCACACTGGCTAAATGCTGTGGGGTCTCGAAATGGCGAGAGCCACGCCACACTCTTGAAGTGAACGTACACAGCAGACTCAGCAGGGACAAACCAAACCAAACAACACAAATTTTTATTTAACAACTTTTAAAAACGGCGATATTGTCATCCGGATTATTATAACATCAATCGTGATCAACAGGCTAAGACATCCTTACACATTAAACAACACTCAACAACATGACAAACAAGGCAATGTTGCTATCGCCTGACTCACCACGTGGGCCCCCAGCAGACGGCCCGCGGTGCCGTGTACCGGGGACACACCGCGAAAGGCAGCCGTTCACGCCAAACGCCACCAAAGAAAAAGACCAGCTTACTCCTTGCGTGCCGCCACCAAGGCTTGGCGCCAGTCGTCGCCGCCGGCGCTAACGTTTTTTATCCATGACGATGATGATAGTGGCGATAAATGCTCACGAGCACAACACTACCTACCGCCCAGTAGTTGTAACCCGAAATGCGGCTTACGTGTGAAACACATGCGCCACGCGGCGCAAACAACTTTAACTGCGTTGTTTGTGCCACCCGGCGCAAACAACGCAAACACAGTAATTAAAAGAACTGGCATTGGGAAAGGCATCGTATCTAAATTGCACCCAGTAGCAGCGTGTAAAAAACTATGCTTTGGCTTCGAATTGTCTTCGGCTCAGAAGCACGCCAGTGGCAAAGGCAGGGCAGCCTTATTGCCATTGCTATCGAGCAATGGCGGCCACCATGCTTAGTCACGGAGGAAGAAAAGGTAGGAGAGGACATGCCCAGCCGGCGCACTATGTGAAAAGTGTGGAGGAAATGACATTATGGCGGCCATATTCACTGGGCACAATGGCGGTGTTGCTGTGGTTATTTGTTGCGCAGTGTAGCTGGTCTAGCAGTGAGCGGCCACGGCTGGCGGCGGCATGTGTGCCTCCGCAGGTCTCGTGCTGAGCCGTGGGGGACAATATTTGTGCTCTGCGCCGCGCTATTGGTTACGCAGTGTTCTCCTGGCAGTTACCGTATTCTTAGCAACGTTTACAAAACCTTTCGTCCACCACAGGGCTTGAACAGTGCGTAAAATCAGCGCATATACATTTGTTGTGCGGCGCATGACGCGAACAAAGCATTTGAAGTGTTCAGGGAAATTGCGTTGGGCACCATGACGAAGCGGAACAACGACGAATGCCGTGCAGGTCAGTGACGGTTGGGCAGTGCTCCTGCTTGTGGCAACGGACGAAACTCTTGTGCGCAGGGAGACGCAATGAGTACCATGTGCACATGGTTTCATGTCGCCCTCCATGCGGTTTCGTGTTTGGTATGTGTACAGTAACAACTTGCATGTGCATAATAAAACACATTTTCTGCTCCGCTTGGTTTACTCGCCCCCAGCATTGTAATCTCGACGTTAGAGCAATCGCGTTCAAGTGTCACTTGCACCGTGCTCAAAGTCACCACAGTCGTAGAATGCTGACGTCGGTGAGTTTCACGCGGAACACGGGCACAGTGGCCGGGTGCTGCGTCGGCCTCGTGTCACAATGCAACCGTGGAAGAAGGCACACGACCGATCGTGGTGTCTGTACAGTTGCTGAATATATGACGTAAAAACACTCGCCGTTGTCACTGCATCTAGCCCTCGGTCTCTTGTACTTGCTTCGTTGTCGGCGAGCTGTTACTTGCTGGTAATACTCAAACGGAATGATTTCGCCGCAGGTGTCGCATTGGCCCAGAGTGTTGAGCTCCCGTACCATTACTTTCGGAACGTCACGACACGCGCGCTGCCTAGCCCACGTGCTTTCCAAGCCGGAGAGAGAGTCGTGCCTTCTGCTTTACATTCGGATGTAAACAGGAGAGGCGAATTTGCCCAATCAATATGGCCGACTTCCGGCTTCATCGAGGCATCACAACGAATGACGTCAGGGTCTCTCCTACCTTTCCTTCCTCCGTGATGCTTAGTAAACAGCGGCGGTTTTTAGCGGTGCCAACGTGCGTTTGAGACTTCGTAGACATATTTTTATGTTCTGAAAATGCATGAAAATGTTCTAGTTTGTGTTTAATGCATGGCATTAAATATCTGAGCCTGGAATTGTGTCATCTGATTTCATTGAAGTGGAACAGCAGAAGAAAAAGTGTTTGTTGTGGTAAGAATATGCATTGACTCCTATGGACTGCTGTCCGGGGAACCGAGAATTTTTTGTTGTAGCTGAAATTTCGTTGAAGCGTAAAGTAGGGTTCGACTGTACATAAGAAATTTAAAAAAGAGAACACCCTCTATGAGGCTTCGTTTGAATATTTCGAGTTGGCATAATAAAATCCCATTTCATAGAACGTGTACGGCCAGCATTTAGCGTTGTACGCCTCAGAAAACTTTCACCTATGTGAAAATGTAATGCCAAACACGCATTTTGGTGGTCACGGGATGCGCCCTCCTTGGGCTGTTATAGATGCAAAGGAATCCTAGAAAGATTAAAGATGGCGTGCCAATGCTTTTGGCAACATTGTTCTAAGGATATGATATAAAACTGCATGGGGAATGTGTGCAGACTTACAGCTGGATTTATTGAAAACATTAGCTTCCCCACCTAACAGCACACATATGCACAAGCACTCATGACAGTATCACACACAGTTTTCAAGTCTCTTTATCTAGCTCAAAAGTCTGAGCTCTTTTTTTTTTGTTATGCATATAAAAGGAAGAGCTGCTAATGCACTTATCAGGAGCAAGCCTCAAAATCACAAAAGCCAGCTTGGGACCACATTAAGGGAGTTTCGACACTAACTTTAAGTATTTTGGGATCATTGCTCTAAATAAAAACACAAATGTCAAGAACATTTAAAAAAAAGTACTGTGGCGTATGGGAATGCATCGTGTACAGCCGTGGCGACGTCTGTGTAAAGCACGCGAGCAGCCGCATTTTGCTCGGCGGCGCGAAAGCTTGAGGCGCTTTCGAGCTTTGAAGTCGTGCATCAGGAGCGTGCGTGGTCTAGTTGTCAGGCTGACCGCGGCAGAGCGAGGTACTCTCTCAAGGTTTTTTGCCACAGAGCAACAACCGACAGCTCGCGTGCTCTTAACAAACATGGCCGCGGCTGTACATCTTTAATACCGCTACTGTAAAAGGACACTTTCCGTTTCGGCATGCAGGGGGTGGCTTCTTCGTGATGTGTCACGCCAGTGTGACGTCACGGGAAGACAGCCATATGCACCAATACTAGCAGTATATTTGTAGTCCGCTCGTAGTACACATAAACAATGATGAGTACATTGTCTCCAGCGACTTCGACAGCGATTTCTGCGGTTTAGGCTCATGTTGGACACAGAGTGCACGAACTCGGTGAAACTCTGTCTACTCGTTGGGATAATGTCCATAGAGATGAGGCTGACATGCTGATGCTCAGCGACAAAAACTTCTAGATCAAAGAAAATGTTTTAAATACATTGGCTTACTCTGGTGTGTGGAAAGCATACCAAGGAAACTGCGTACCAAGGAAACGAAAAATGTCCCTTTTGCGATGTCTCAGAATCGTGTCAGCACACCTTTAATTGGTGAAATATGGAACACACCTGTGCACTGTGGTGGTTGGTCAGACTGATGATGTTATCATTGTGTGCTACACCACTTATAACCATCTCCTTGTGTTTTTATTTGTCCAGCTCTCACCATCTCCCCCGCTGGTCAGCTGCGAACCGTTGACCGTGAAGACGGAGCCAATGCCACCCGCAGGTGCTACCACACCACCTCTGGTTCTCCGCATGCACCCTGTACCCCCAACACCACCGCCGTCGGTGAGCAGTGCCGTGTGCACGCCGCACAGTGCGCCACTGCGCTGGTGCCGCAGCTCGGAAGTGGTGGCCATCAAGGAAGAGGTGCTGACCGTGGTGCCCCCTTCCATGCCACCCACCCCGCCACCACCAACAGCTGTTGTGATCAAGCAGGAAGCAAGGACAACACCTTCGCCCTGCCTCGCTATTTGTCAGAAGCAGGTGAGACATTGTCACAGGAGCGGCCTCTTCCCTTCCAGGTCCAACAATGTTGCTCTTGCCTCAGGCTGCCACAAGTTCAAAGTTCAATGAAGTTCAATGAAAACTCGTACTGTCTCTTATTTGAAGAAGCAGTGCCATCGGAGCTTGAAAACTCTCATGGTTTCTTTATTTGTGATACTGTAAACATAAGGTTCTCGTTGGTTCTGCCACCGAGTGTGTCAGTGTTTTGGAATAAACTTCAGGCTATCTGTCTGGTTTGTGGTGTTGAAGTTCTGACCGTGTCTTTGAAAATCATCGTGTCATGTGTGTTATCACATCATATGTTGCATGCCTAAACTGATAACAGCAGTTGCACATAGGAAGCCTATGGGTTTCGCAATGTTGAAAAAAAAAATTTCAATTGTTCAGTGACGAGAACGCTTCTGTGTTTTTCTGGCTTCAAAATGCCAATTGTGATGGGAACATCTTGATGGCAAAGAGGTAAAGTAATAATTCTCATCGTTTTCTGCTTTTGTTGAAAAAAAAATAATACAAGTTGTTGCTTGTGCGAGTCACAATTACAAAGTAATGAAACTGACGTTTTTGGAATCGGCAATCAGGTGGTTGTTAATGAGGTAAAGTAGCTGCTCACTAACTGTAGAGACAGTCTGCAAGGTATTGCGTAATTGTACTCAAACATAGGGTGATGTGTAGCTTTAAGATTGCAGATTCAAATGTTTGCTACCTACAATTACAAGTTTTTGCTATTTTATCTTTTGTAACCTTTGATGAATTGTATACGGTGAGGCCTTAACTGTTAATAATGATAATGATAAATGTTGTTTAATGGTATTCAGAGATCCCACTCCTGCGCCAACTGCGCCAAATAAGATTTACTGTGCCATTCTGATAATATCAAGGGAAATTGCGTCAAACTACGCCAAAGTCGGACTTGAGAGCATCTATCACTGGCAGTAGCCACGCCGTCAGGTCAATACATGTGCTCCTTGTTCTCGAGCTACCAAAGTCACAATCACGTACCTATTTTAATATGTTAAATAAACAGCGGTCGCGCGTCTGTCCTAAAATCCATGCTGCTATGTTTAGTGCTAACCCAACTCTGTTGTGCAAGTCCGCTTAATGGTGAAACGCACTCTCCGCAGGGGCTCGTGACGTCTAGTTTAATCGGTAGTGTGAAACTGTGGCGGCGATTCGTCGGTGGACGTCGTCCTTTAAGGGGATCTGAGGGAGTGAACCTTCTAAAAAAAAAGAAAACTACTACCGCATTGAGTACACTGCAGTCTCAGTGAGTGGAAATCTCCAAACAGCTGCTCAAATAGAACAGCTTCCTCCGATATGATTGGTTTCGTACTTGAATTCTGCACTCCTGTTCATATCTTATAAAACGAAACTCCTGTTAAACGGAACACCTTTTCCTGGTCCCTGCAGGTTTTGTCTTACGAGAGTCTACTCGGTAGAAAGTGAAGGCAGAAAAAGCATTTGAGATGAACAAGTGCTAAAGAAAAAATAAATTTGACCAAAAGACAGCTTGTTACAGAGGGGGAGCCATATTTATCATTATTTGTGCAGGATACCTCACCAGTTAGGGCGTTCGTGTAAGCTTACAAGATTAGCCATGTGATTAAGTCAGAGATTAACCCTAGGATTGAACCTGGGATTAGCACTGCTCATGGACAAGGTGGCTAATGTGGGAAATCTTTTGCATGTTGTCATTTCTATTTGTTACCATTGCATGATGTTCTCTGGCAAGGATACTTTTGTGCCAATGCATCTGTAGCTGGTTGTAGTGTATACTTAGTGTGGCTGCGGTCTGGCCAGCCATTGCTTGTTTGTTGACGCACACAAGGACAGTTCAGCCTGAAGCTTTAACCTTAGGAAACTTTGTAAGCTTACATTGTAGTTTGTCTCACTGTCACTTTTCATTGTTAGACTGGAAGCACTTTAAGTGGTGGTGTAAAAAATATTGAAGCATTATCACAACTAGCACAACTGCTTTTAACGAAGCCTGTTGAATATTCCTGGAGTAGCGTCCACCACTCCACATGGTGATCTGTGTATTCAAGCATTGTTACTTGCCATTTTTTGCAAAGAAATTAGCTTGTTAATGAAAATAAATGTCCAGCTTTATTTTTAATACTACACCATACAATACAGTACTTTCCTTTTGTGTTATTACTGCCGTCTTATGCACATCAACTTTGTATTCTGTCGTGAACTTATTTACAGCGCAACACCAGAAAACACAGAGAAAGAAAAGACGGCGCTGACTCACAACTGTTGTTTGTTGGAAAAAACGGGGTGAAATGTATATATATAGGTGTTGTTTTTCTGGTATTGCACTGTAAATAAGTTCACGATGAATCCTAACCAACTGGTCCAACTTACCGTCTTCTTGTATTCTGTTTTTATGGCATGTTTTGTATTACAGTCGAGCCCGCTTATAACGAACCTGAGCGTGACGCGGCATTCGTTCGTTGTATCCCGTAGTTCGTAGTAAATGAAACACAGCTTTTAAAAAAAGTTGCGAGTGAAAACACAAACTTTTTTGCCTCAAAAAGTTCGTGATGCATGTGTTTCGAAGAGCAAAAGTGATAAAAGCGGTTTCGAGTTTATTTAAAACGGCAAGGTGCTCGTTTGCCGAGGCCTGTGGCATAAGCTGCATGAGGCACTGGCTCCAAAGTTTCGTCGTTCTCGCAATCCGATTCCTCCAAATCGCTCTCGCCACGCACTTCATTCACAATGCCCCAATCCGTGCACGGTTCCGCTGTGTCGGCATCATCATCGGCCGTAATTAAACCATCGCAACAGATGTCCCGCCCGCTCTCCCGAGTTGGAGTCAACGACGCGCTGCCACAAATCGCCGCCGCAGTTCGGGAGCTTCAGGCTCGACTTCGGGCTCTGCAACGCAGCACCTAACGCTCGGATTATGCTCAAGCCAAGCGGTCGCACTTTCGACGTTTCAATGAGTGGCAGCAGAAAGCGTGCTAGTCTTCCCGTCGGTCATCATGACCACACACGCACACTAAGATTGAGCAAGACGCGCACATGCGACACACATGCCAGAACGCGTCGAACAGCTCTGGGCACGTTTCCAGTCAGAAAACGAAACTAATCCGAGCCAGCTTGGCGGGCGTCGCGGAGCGGTGGAGACGGCCGAAGGGGTTATGATCAAGAGAGGAGAGCAGACTTGTGAGATAAGGGCAAAGAGTTGCGATAAAGAAAGGGGAGGATGCGGTGGGAGGGCGACCTTGAAAACCAAAAGACACGGGAGGGAGGCAGGTTGTGTAGCTTGCTTGAAAAGTCCGTGAAACTCGCACGTAGAGAAACTTAGAAAGAGTGCCTGCGCGCACAGAAGTCAAAGCATGGCTGCTGGATCGGTGCGTGTGGCGGTGTTCGAAGAATCCGCGGTCATGGTCAAAAAATCGTTTTGTTGCGCCGGCAGGTTTGCATGGCCTCACGAACTTCGATATTTCGCGATTCGTTCCGTGCAATTTAACAGCTGTTTTCGAGCTTGCGCACGCGCGCGCTGAAGGCATGCTGAGCCGAGTGCGAAGTGAGCGAGAACAAGTACAAAACACGAAACGAATCGGAAATTATCGGAGTCGGTGGGGTATCTGTTGGTGGCCGACGATGTTAGCAAATGGTCTGGTCACTCCAGGCCGGCGACGCCAACGACAGTTCCAGCGATCAAAAGCTGGCTATATGGCCGACCGGTCTTCGAAAGATCGGTGGCAGTGTAAAAACACGGGGCTGGCGATGAGGGGTGCTCAAAGTAGCGGTTGGACAAAGAACGGAGGGGTGCGTAACAAAAAGAAGTCAGTGCATGGAGGAAGGAAACAACTTTCCTTCCTCCATGGGTTGGGGAGAGCGGCAACTAGAGGGCCGCGGAGGCAGGGTTGGCATTTAACAATAAGAGTGTATGGGCACCTCGCCGATGCCTGATCGGTGGTTGAAGTTGGTTTTCCGGGAAATCGGCAGACCGCTGACTCGGTTTGCTGTAACCGATCAGCGGCGCCCGGATATGTTCGTTGCAAGTGCGATTTTGTGCCATTGAACCAATGTATATTTTCACGGTCACGCGGATATTGTTTGTTTTAAGCGAAAGTTCATTTTAAGTGGGGACGTTATATGTGGGCTCCACTGTATAAGCAGCGGTTTGCTTTAAAATATTGCAAAATAAAATCTCGGAACGTAGTGAAATGTCATAAGTTGTCTCTAGAAAGACAGGCTTAAAGCATGACCGTTTCAAAATTCACGATATTTCACATTTGAACGTTTGAGTGCATCATTGATTGCATTTATATCATCACAAAGCAAAGGTGTAAATTTGAAGCTACTATATCCATGGTGTTATTGCACAGTGCTAAGGCTCTGTATTTAGCTGCATAACCATGGTAGGTTGTCCTGGAATCCAGAAGGTTCCACATTAACTGTTGTACCTTTGCACGGTGCAGAGCACATTGAGCGAGCATGTGTGGTAAATGTTGATCAAAGTTTTTTTTATGTTTTATTCTCTCTGTCTTTCATTTCTTGCCTGCTCAGTTTTTATCTCTCGTCTGTTGGTGGTTGCATTCTACATGTAATGGCCTGGCTATAATGGGCAGTCAGTCGTAGTCGATTGTGAGTTGCATTACCAACGCAGCAAATGAATTCGCACTTAATCCTCGCTAGACTGTGGAATGTCTTGTCTTGCATACCGATTGTTTTTTGTGCATGTGTGGTGGTTACAAGCATGTCTCTTTCTCTCTCTCTCCTTTTTTTTTGCTTTTCTTTTTCTGTCTCCCCGTCGATCCACCCATTTCCGGCACCCCTTCTTCTTTGGCCCTCCACATTTACGCACTGGCAACAGGAGTCGGACGACGAGAATGCCGAAGAAGTCGCTCCTCCAGAAGAGGAGCGAGAAAGCGCAGAGCAGCCAGCCAGCACGGCTGAGACGACGGAAGCGGTGGCGAGCCACGACAAGAGTAACGTTTCTTGCGATGATGCCCCTCCTCCTCCTCCTGCCCCCTCTCCTCCCGAACAGACAATGAATCCGCCTCTCGCTGGTACTCCTCCTGCCGCCATCCCTGTGGCAAGCCCGCTCATCAGGGCACCTGCCGCCGACAGCACGGTGCTGCCGAACAACCAGACGACTGGTCCTGCGGTGGCGGCGGCTGCTATGATGCCTGTGATGACCATCAAGGTTGAGCCTGGCACACCGGCGACCTCGGATTTAGGTACAGACGCTCTGGGGAATACTGCGAAAAGGCGAGGGGAGGTGTTTTCATATGAAGCTAACACGTAATGAAACCAAGGAAAGCATGGAGGGTAATACTTGGAGTTTTTAATCGACATGTACACACGTAATGAAACCAAGGAAAGCATGGAGGGTAATACTTGGAGTTTTTAATCGACATGTAGTAATTATGAGACTGATGGTAGGGAAAGTAGATAAGTAGAGGCTTGCCACCAGTGGGTTCCTAATGCACAAGCTTCGCAAAAGGCATACAATGCACTGCCATTGTACTGAAGTGGCTGTGGTAGAAATATCTTGTAACTTAGCACAATGGCTTGGGGATTGCACATGATGCGAAAGTCATTTGGTGAGCTCTCCCATCCACAGGCTCCACTTTTGCCCTCTTTATCTCTCAACAGCTAAACTTATATTAACAACAAGAAATAATGCTCCCAATACATTCTTTCAGTTCATTAACTGTATGCTTCATATAGTAGTTCAACAAGAACAAGCACCCCTCCCCCTCCCAAGTCAGTCTCTCTTAGTTTTGTTCCTGAGAATAGCAGTGTCTCGAAGCATTCCCCTCTTATTATGTGCAGATGCACCGCCGCCACCACCAGCAGCGGCTGTGGCTGCTGCTCTAGAAGAGAACCCAGTTGTGAAAGCGTGCGAGGGTTCTGTTGAAGAGCCTGAGGGGTCCACTGGAGGCAAGCAGAATGTGCTCCTCAAGCAGCTGCTGCAGAACTGTCCCTCAGCTGAAACCCACAAGCCGCTGGCCGGAGACCTCCCAGAGGTACCCACCTATACCGCAGTACGGCAAGGCCACTCCATGTACAGTCGAAACCTGCAATAACGAAATCGCCGGGGAAACCGAAAAATTTCGTTTTCGCGGGAATTTCGTTGCCATGAGTATCAGACATAAAAACAGTGATACTGCCAGCAGAACGAAAAAAGTGACGAAATGAGGAAAGCAATGCAGGATGGGATTTTGTTGCCCCCTAATTATGTCGCTGCAAGGCTGCTTAACATGATGATGATATTTTTGCTGTTCTTTTCTTTTTCCGCGATCAACGGAGAACCCGCTTCCGGCGTCAAGCTTTTTCTTAGGCGCCATTGTAACTTCATCTCAATTTCGCCACCAGTTCCTGTCTCCTCTTCGTTGTTTTGATTGATCCCAACTGTTGGTGTTGCTTCAGCCTGTTGAGCTCGTCCGACGGCGCCATCTGCACTCCAGCATGATCATTTGCTATTGCCTGCTGCAGTGTGGCCAGGTTTGTTGCCGGACACAGACCACGTCGCCGATTTAAGTAAACAAAAATGGCAGTACCCATGCTAGCGCAGCAAAAGCAGATGTTAACAAACTTTGAGTGCACATAACAGGCATACAAGCATATTTTCGACAGTTAACCTTTAGGGGGAGGGTAAAGTAAGGCCTGTACCGTGGTAGAAAATTCATTATTGCAGGATCGCTGTCCGAAAACATTTCATTGCTGTGAGATACGTAATTCATGGGCTTCTATGAACGTTTGCTGGGGATCCGGAAATATTTCGTTGCCGCAGGGATTTTGTACTCGCGGGGTTTCGTTATTGCGGGTTTCGACTGTAGTCGAATTTAGCTCACAGTTTTGCACGCTCAACATTGTAGTCACTTTGCAACTTTTTGTGTTCACGAGAATTTCATAAAACAACATTTCGAAGTGCAGAACTTTCCAGCATAACTTTGTGTGCGTTATAAATGGCCATGTCGCAGCAGTTGTCTAAACACATGTTGGCATCCTGCCTTCATTTCTTTCGAGACACAGCCCAGGGGACAAGGGCATGAGAGGTCGCAAACACAGTGCCATGTTTGTGGCCTCTCATCCCCTTGTCCTTCGAGCTGACTTTGGATTAACTATGGGTAACCAACCAGCCCAAGCTACCCCTGTGCTCTTTAGTGGCGAAGCTCCGTGAGGTTGAGACATGTCCGTTGGCATTGTGCATTGTAGCTGCCTCTGACGACAATGATGACGCCGATGAACAAGCGCATTCGGACCACACATTCTCTCTCAGCCATCACGGCACAGCACATGTGAGGTACCCACTGTACGCCATGAGGATGACGCTGACGGTGATCACGAACGATTGGCTTGTGCAGTATATGACGTCTCGATATGCTGTACGGTGCTTTTAGTGTGACTGGAAAGAACCAACAACCACCAGGGGAACACGCCCAGACCTCGTCTTTGCCAACTTCAGGCTAGATCGGATGCCACAAAGCAGTAATAACGAAGACGCAAGGAAATCCACAGCTCAACACAACATACCAGTTATGACCAGGAAACGTTGTATATATAACTTTGTATCGCTTGGCACTCATTTGCATGTGTGAGTGGTCAACGTCACGGGGAATTTATGGTAACACTGGACGATTCCACTGCTTTGCCCACTCATGATCATTCGCTTCGTGGACATACAGTGTGCTTTTTTTTTTCCCTTAACTGAGTGATACATTTATATATCATAATGAAAGTTTTTTAAGGGCCAATAAATAGGCTCCCACTTTTTTTTTCACACCCACCAAGCAGGCTTGCTAATTCACTGAGAAACACGCAGCAATGGCATTTCATTAATATCGCAATGCTGTGCGCTGCGCAGACGCTCTATTACGAAAAGCGATTCCTGCACCTATCCAGTGGCTGTCCCATGCTCCTCGTATGCGCGGTGATGTAATCTTGCCCATAGGCTTTACGTAGCCACCGACTTTATTGATTGGTCTTCTGCTCTACAAAACTGCGTCTTGGTTATGCGACAACGCGGTTTTGGCCGCGCATTCATCGTGCTTCTTCATCACGCTGCAAAGCTAACCCTAGCGTCTTGCTGGCTTGAGCAACACGTGGTGAGAGCCTTTTAGGCAATTGGCCGTGTGCTGATGACGTAATCGTTGAAGGAGGGCTACGCCTGCTCTTTTTCATTGCTGAGAAGGTGGAATGTGATCTTCTTGAAGCTTATACTGTTACGGGGAGGATAGACTCAGAAGGTGCATACTTAAGGGAATACACATACATGTATTTACAACTGATTAGTCGAGCAGCGCTGCCAATACGAGGGGCTCGCACCAGTCTGTTTTTATTCTTTTCTTCGTCTTCAATGATGGCACTGGTATGTAGCAATATCAACATGCACAGTGACAATTCTGTAACCACTACAGTGCGTGCATCCTTTTCAGACCCCACACTGTTGCAGGAAGAAGGCAAATTTTTACTACTTTGGCATTAAGATCTCCGTTTCCAAGTATGCCGCTCCTGTTATTGAACACTGCATGCACCTCTGGTTTTTCTGAAAGATGTTTGCTTTTAAAGAACAATCGATAGTTCAGTCGTCAGAAGTCAATGGACTTCTCTCCTTCGTTCGTTGTCTTCTTGTCTGTTCTATTCTTTCAGCGTTATGTACCAACAGGCTCGGGCTGCAACCTTTCCACAAGCATGAGCGAGAAACCAAAACCAGCTAAAGATAGTTGCTCTATACCCTGTAACTTTTTACTGCACTTATTTCTAAAATTCTTGTGGCAGCTAAAGATTGTAGTTGTGGGGATCTGCATGTTTGTGAACGCTGAGCAGCAGCCTTAAGTGCAATGGAGTCAGGGATGTCACTAATTCAAAGTAGGCCTTCAGGCAAGCAGTCCACCAGTGGCATCAGGGCACAAGTTGCTGTGGCACCAGGCAATGAGATGTACATCGCTAATTTAGTAAGATTGACCATTGTGATGATTTTTCTTCTTTTTTTTTTCTTGTCCTGTTTATCAGTGTGGCTATGATATCACCAAAGGCAAAGTTTTGAACTTTCTTGCAGTAAGTACCTTACGTGACAACCTTAGAATAAAAAGTAAAGTGCAACACTGTCAGTGTTCAAAATGCGTGTGTAGTTTCATTCACTTCCGTTTGTGATGTAAAGGTTAAAAAGAACCAATGAAAAAATACATTGAGTCGTTTTCCAAGATGGGACGCCAGGCACCATTGCACTTGCAGCCACCATACAGTTTTTCTCATCATGATTGCTTGTTCCAAAAGAAAGTCTTTCGTGCTATGGACCACTCGGTCACTTGCGACTGTCATCATTTGATCCAGTAGAAGCTTGTTATTGTGCCTCTTTCAAAGTTCATTTTGTCATCATTTAGTCAGCGAATACAGTTAAACCCCGTTAATTCGGACTTCACGGCACCAGAGAGAATGTCCAAATTAACCGAGGGTGCGAATTATCGCGAGTACAAACAAAACACTTGAAAAATGTCTCCTACACCATCAGACTTTTATTTCTTAAAACGTCTGTGATTGTGGTCTGTGATCGCGGACGCAATGTGTGAAGTCACAATTTCGCAAAGTTCCTGCCGGTGGCTTAGTCCGCGCACAGTCGGAGGAAAGCATGCATATGTCCTCCGAAACGGCCAATGCACGCGCAGCCTCCATCATTCCGTGGCATGGACGCTCTTCAGCATCACTTACATCCTCGTCAGCCGTTTCCCCTTCGCCGTCCGAGACTTCGGGGCGATATCGCTGTTGGTCACTGTGCCGGCCACGGCAACATCGTTGTCAATTACGAAGTAAGCACCCAGGGGCACACCAGCTGGCATGATGCTCACTTGGCGGCCGTCTTGCTCTTAGCCGGTTTCCTCGTTGGCCACCACACCTGGATCAACAGCATCGTGCACGAAGCCGCTATGCCTAAAGCAGTCTGCGACTACTGCAGGCGGTGTGTTGTTCACGTATGTCAGCATATCGATTGAGCTTAGCAGACTCACTTCGTACTGCTTGCTTGACTCCATGCAGAGTAACATCCTCTCGAGCACCTGCCGTGGATAGTGGCTTTTCACGAACTGTATGATTCCCTCGTCCACCGGCTGCAGAGAAGCCGTTGTGTTCGGAGGCAGGAATAGCAGTTCAATGTTCTCAAGCCCTGACGCCTTTGTGTGCGCACTACAGTTGTCTAGCACGAACAACACCTTCCGAGCCTTGGCCAAAGCTGTGGTTGCCAGGCTGCAGCCAGGCTTGAAAGAGTTCGGCAGTCATACAAGCCTTTCTGTTGAACCGGTAGTAGTCACGCGCGCGCGTAAGAAGTAGACAACACACACACAAATGCACATTAACAAAAAACTAAATAAAAACCGGCAAACTTTTCAAAAAACATCAAACAGTAAAACTGCAGATGAAACTGATCACGTACAGATAAATAATTTAAAGCACACTAGATGTGAGCAATCTAACTCAACCATCATGCAAACGTGTTCGACGCACAAGAAAAAAGGAGAGGCATATTTGTAAATGGCCCATTGCTGATAACAGTAGCGATGTACTGCCTTCTATTTTGGTTGTTTGAACCACCATTTGGTTTTTGGGGGGGGGGGGGGGGGGGGGGGGGGAGTGCCTCCGTGATGTACTATCCATAGATAAAGTTTTGAATCTCAGAGGCCGCAGGCCGCAATCTGATCCCAAAGTTGTTTAGGTGTGCCGTCGATTTGGCCCACAGAATCCACTGCTGCTTCCCCGTCGTGACTCGACCGCGGTCGGGCGTTCCAATTAACCGAAACGCGGCTGAATTTGTCCGAATTAATGAGAGTGTTCAGTCATAAAACATGTAGTAAATTTTAAACGAGACCAGGTGCCGTGGCCGAAATAATGGGGGTCAATTAACGAGATTTTACTGTTATAGTAGACTTTGTGAAAAGTGAATGTCTGAAAAGTGGAAGCGCACTTTTTAGCAGGCTCAATGCCTTGCGTCAAGGGATTGAGCATGATCTTTGTCATTGAGCGTACTTTTGTT